GCCACAGAACACTCCACAGGGGGGAACCCCAGTGTACCATAGACTGCAGCCTCTACGAGGGCAGAGAAGGTGGAAGAGGCCGCTAAGCAGTCGCGAAAGTCAAAGGAGACTTCCACCATCTCATGGCCTCTTCATGCACATCCGGGTAGAAAGGATTTTGGGTTCGCCACCCCCAAAAACCAATCATCAGCCTAAAGTGCTCGGGAGATGGCAGAATTTTCCACACAAACCCAACACTCGTGGCAGCCCGGGAAGCATAGCTGTGAACTCTGAATCTAACTCGCTATGCTAGCACATCCGAGGACAGCAGCAAAGATGAGCCAACTCCAGAGAACTCCAGCTCACCTTGTGATGCGGCGATAAACATGATTTCATCAACTGGGGGACCAAATGAGAACGCGGGCCCTTTTATTTAAATTTTTTTTTTCAGCAGCCGCGAACTCACTCGGGACCACGTGGATTGCAACGTGAAAGACGGGGTGTGTACCGAGGAATTTTCGTCTGTTTAGTTCCAGACCTGATGTCTTAGATCACTATACATTACGATGGTCACGTTCCCACTGAGAGAACGTGACACATCCACGAGCGCTGTCTGAGCGCGATCAAAGCCCAAACACGTCAAACAGCGCTCACGCCCATCAGCTGAATCTATCAGAATACCGCACTCAGAAATACACGGGCAGATCATCTTTAAAAATACGCGTCTTTAAAAAGACGTGCTGCATGCACACTCTTTCAGTGAGAGGAGAAAACTCCGCGGATGTTGAAGCGACCAGGGAAAGACACACACATTGGCAGACCACTGATCAGATCGCAGGCAATGTGAAACTCCCTGGATACCGCCGTCACACCAACACCAGAGAGTTCGCTCGTCTCGAAGGGGTGAGTCACAGTAGTAAACTCAGATTGTGTGGCTTGTGGAGTGAAGAAGTTCTCTTGGCTCCGAAGCGAAAACATACTGCGGTTGCGTTTACTTCCCCCTTTTATACTCACGAGGTGGCGGAGATACGCTATGCAAATTCCACAGACCCATGGCATTTTCCTGCCATTGGCTCGTTTTTTAATACTCAAAGAGAATTGGCTTTCTATGTGAAACCTCCATTCTCCGTCATCCGACGTAACACGGAGTGACTACGAAAGGGAACATTCTTCAACTTGGCAAGCTATCTTAAATGGAAAAAGCTTTCTCTAATAACAGAACTAATTTGTTTGTCAAAAAATAGTGAAGAGTCAAAGATCACTCCAAGGTTTTTGATTTGTTTGCATACTTTTGTTGAAAGAGGACCTAACTGGGCCTTCAAAGCAGGAGTGGAATCTGCTGGACAGCCCAGAATTAAAACCTCTGTTTTATCCTCATTTAACTGCAGAAAATTATTTGTCATCCACCTCTTAATATTATCTACAATAACAATCAATTCTAATAACACATCAAATGAAGCAGTGTTGTCAAGCCTTACTGGAAGGTAAAGCTGAGAATCATCTGCATAGCAGTGGTATGAAATGTTATATTTCTGAAAAATAAGGGCCAAGGGGAGCATATAAAGAGAAAACAACAAAGGTCCCAAAATACAGTAGATCCTTTGGGCACACCAAATAAAACAGGCACAGATGACGATGACCAATTTCCTAAATTTACAGAAAAATCCTCTTTTCAAGGTAGGAAGCAAACCACTTTAATACAGTGTCCTTTGGCGCTTTTCCACTGCATAGTATGGTACGGTTCGGCTCAGTACGCTTCGACTCGGCGCGGAACAGTTCCACTTTTCGTTTCCACTGCAGTAGTACCCCTTCAAAGTGTGTGGGACTGATCGTTATTTGCGCGCGCCTCTACTGCCATGACATCATCTTAAAAGCGCCACATTTTCAAACCCACAACACAGGAACAATGGAGACTATCGAGGGGATGGTGTTCCTGATTCTCGGTATGTGGTTGTTTTTAACTGCTAGACGGAAAAATGTGTTTAAAATGAGGCTGATGGCAGCAAAACAAAAATACTGCTAAAAAAAGTGTCTCGTGTCTCGTGTCGCAAATCCAATGACGCTAGTAGTGACGCTGGTAGTGACGATTCTGTCTGACCAATCAGTGATCTGCAGTGTTTCACGTCACATTTTAGTACCGGTACGGTACGCTTGGAACCTCAACAGACCAGGTACCATTTAAAGCGACCTGAACCGAACCGTACTGTACTGTACCATGCAATGGAAAAGCACCACAATTGAGACGTACCGAACCGAACCGTACCGTACTATGCAGTGGAAAAGCGCCTCTTGACACCCACCATATGTTCTAGAGTGAGGTTTCATAAACCAGGGTAAAAATCAGTGCTAACCCCACATCTTAATTACAAGTGTGAAACTTTTCTTTACCTAGGATTATAAGAACGACAATAACCCAGTGTTATACTGTAAGTGCAGTGTAAAAGCCCTATTTTAGTGATTCCCCAACCGTGCTCATTAAGAGCTACCATCCTGCAGACTTCAATTCCAACCCTGCTCCAACATACTTTCCTGTAATTATCATGTAACCTTAAACACCTTGATTAGCTGGTTCATGTGTGTTTGATTGGGGTTGGAGCTGAAATCTGCAGGACAGTAGCTCTCCAGGTGCAGGGGTCTTAAAACTTCCTCTGTTTGGTACAAGAGTACAATCTCTGTGCTCCCAGGTGATCTTTCAGAGTAGACTACCATGAATAAATGTTGCACAGACTAGCGTATCATTTGATCTTTAAAGGAGGACCAAAGTGTTGTCTTGCTTCTATTCACCCACTCCGGGACCTATTACCCTGCCTATTACCTGGTGAACTTTGAATTTTTTAGACCCTGTTTTCCAGTACTTTTATTTAGGCCATTTATTTATTCTAAAGTGAAAATAAATCCTAGTCTATTTTCTGGCCATTTTTCTTTTTTTTTTTATTGCCTTCACAAATGCAATTTTTTAACCTCAGTCAACTTCTGTCGATCCAGTCCCCCAATGATTTAATACTGGAAAAGGCTCTTTTATGATTAAAAGAGAGTTGACAGCTTCACTGTGCAATGGAGAGGAGAAATAGAGCAAAACTGAGATGAGGCAAGAAATGAGGGATGATTGATGACAGTCTGTTGACGAAAGAGCCATGAGAATATGGGTGACTTTGTTTACTTGTGAGTTGTTTACTTGTCTTTCCACCCCCTGAGAGAATCTATTTGACATTTTTTATCTTCTCTCTCTTGAGAATGAGTATTTACACTTCTGATTTTAGCAGCGTGAATAAAGTCTTTTCTTTCTTTTGTGGTTTCATAAGGGATATCACAGGTAGCAAGATATAAAAAATATTCAAAAAAGCTTTGCTTTTAATCAACTTGTGTTTGAATGCCTAGCATTAGTTAATCCGACAGTCTCACATGCACAGCAGTAAACGTTGCTTTAAAAACGCAATTTTAACAAGTATTGCTTAACACTTATAACAATTTTATGAATGAGCAAGGTTTACTGTTTGTGGCATATTATCCAGTTAATGTAACCACTATCCTTATATTGTGTTTATAATGTCTCATGGTAAATAGGGAAAACTGCAGATATCCCCTGAAATTCGTGGTTGTGGATCAGTTTATGCTCTGAAATTTAAGCATTTCCTACTCTGAGCTGTGGAGTAAAAACATGCGCTCACCTTATAAACCTTAAAAACTATATAAAAAAATGTTATGGTTTTCCAGGGCCTTGTTTACAGCTAGTATTAACATCCGGTGATCCGAAAAGTCAGTTTGAGTGATCAGACCACAATGTATTATTAGGATGAACATCTTCAAATGTGTATAGCATCCCAGACATATGGAAGTTTCCACCATACAAGAAAGAAGAAGAAAAAAATATACTTTTGGTGATTCGTAATTGACACAAATTCAAAAAAAAGTTCATTTAAATGGACAAGTCATTATCATAATTTTGACTTGTCGTAATTAAGTCATTATTATTATAAAGTCAATTTAAAAAAAGTCACCTTTTCACAGGCATTTATTCGTCTTATCGCAGGTGTTGGGGCATCTGAAGTCTCCATGAGAGGCTGGATACAAACTGAAGCTGACGAACGCCATTTTTCTCGGGACTCATCTCCCGAGATTAGTAGAACGACAAATGGAAAGTGAATTAGCATAGCTGATGTTCATAATTATTTCCATTACATTACATTTGTATTTCCAAAGCGATCTTGCATGAATGAACAGCTCGTAAAAAAATTCCCGGTCGACATTTGTTAAGACATCTGCTTTATAATGCTTATGGTAAACATTACAAAGCTCATGACAACTTTTGTTAACTCTACAATAAGTAAATCCACTTCACCAGCTAATTACTCCTCGACAGAGATGCCATAGAAATATACAGAGCGACCGCAAAACGGAAATTCAAAGACAATATTCTAAAGATGACGGCGCCCACGTTTCTCTGGTGCATAAGGTCTATATATACAGGAAAAAGTATGCATTTCAGCTGTTGTTCAGCTAAAGTCAGTGTTGATTTAGTTCTGTTGAAAAGATCATTAATTATTAAATTAGTTAATTTCATCTACAAAGTTCTGCAAAAAATTGATTTCATCGTCCAGCTCAGTTTAGTCCGATCAATATTATTGGTGAATATTGGATTAGATAAATAAAATAAATAATAAAATAAACAAGCAATAGATGATTAACAATGTACAAGAGAGACCCAAGATAACATTGGGTAGTGTTAAATGCCAGGGAGAATAAATATATAATTTACTATGCTTCATGCCAGCCATTCCAAATCTCATTGTGTATGTTCTCCCAGTTTTTCCCATACACTGTCATTAGGAGCTACCAAGCTCTAAAAAAGCACCACATAAGTATCATAAATATAATAAGTCCATATGACTTGACTTGCATTGAAAGTGGTCACCGAAAAAAACATTTGAGATGTTAATGCTAGGTGTAAAAGGGTATAGGGTGTCGCATTTTGTTACTTTCTTTTTATTGTAGTAATTTTGTGTCTGTGTGTTGCTCCACAGGATGACACTTGCAAAGAAGAGCCATGCAAATGTCCCCCTAAAGAGGACGAGTCTTTGAACAACCAGAACTCACTCACGCCAAAACTCGAAAACGACAAGGCCGCCACAGAAGACAATGCAGAGGAGGTAAACTCACTGCAGAACAACATGAACAATGTGTAGGCACATCCTATTTTGTTCTGTAACGAACCAGCTGTGATTGTAATGAAAATTCTCTAATTAGTGGGAAAAAATTAATTGTAACATGATATAGTTTTACCATACAATTTTCTCGCCATGAAAATGGCAACAAAAGTTGGCATGGTGTTAAAAACAAACAAACACTGAAAAAAAAACCTAACTCTAATTACAGTAATGGACTAAGCATTGACATGGCATTCTTCCTTGCAGTCACCTCAAGGTGGCTCAATGTGAGCTTCAAAACACCCAAGCTGTATCCCTTTTCAGAGGCTGCATCCTTCAAAGGTCGGAACTAGCATTGTTAAATGGGACAGTCTAGCCTACAGAGGACTGCTCTTGTCGCTTAGCAACTGTGACAGCTGCCATTGACGAGCAGCTTTAACGTTTGTACATAACCTTTTGGAAAGTTCTATTCACACCCTTGTTTAAATGTTAAACTATGTCTAATGTTCACGATGGTCCATTTATGTACATAATAAAGAATATTACCTATTGGTAAAATCACATCTTTGTAAGATATATCAACATTTGAACCACTTTAAAAATATATATTTGAACATTTGTATTGTTAGATATTCAAGTAAGTTTGAACCCAGTACTTACAAACTAACAGTGCAATTGACCTATGGCTAAGCCACGTCCTCAAACGCGATGAGCCAATCACAGTGCGCAGCTAACTCAATACACTCGGACATTCTCTGCTTCTACATCCATTGAAATGAACTACAGTTAGTCAGTTTTCATTCGTTTTCTTGTCCTTTTAAGTTTAAAATGGTCAACGGTGTGCATGGGGCACATGCGACTCCGACACTAGGTTCCCGAGAGGCTGGACGACGGTGTGTATATTTTTTACCCTTTCCCAAGCCACATCCCAACCAAGATACAGCCTCGTGATATGTGTCTGCTCTGGATTAAGTTATACGATTAAGTTATGCGGTAGACCACAACACCAGCTAAACATGGATAAATTAAACAAGGATGTCTACATCTGTTCTAAGTTAAGTCAACAACGTATTTGAACGTTATCTTATTTGAACGTAAAAGTTAGGCTAACGTTAGCCTAACATTAGAAAACGTTGACGTTAGCTTCTAGCTGCGTTGGACATCATGTCACTTAGCTTAATTAATGTATCTGTAAATAACCGAGATTGACAAAATGTTAACAATGTTGTGCTGAATGATTCATGTAAATACTGTAGCAAACCAAACGGCAATGATATGCGGGGTTATCACGTTTACACTGTGACCTGTACATTTTTGCCTGGAGCTGAAGCTTTTCATATACCTTCTCAACAATAAAATTATTAATATAACCCTCCAATGCAGTTAACGCCCTTTAGGTGACTTTGAGATGATATATAATCTTTCTGTCTCCAAAAATCAGCAATTACCTCCTGTGAACTGTCTCTTACTGTGACACCTGCCATTGCGCCTGTCCCCGAATGTTGACTGTTTGTCCGAGTGAGTGGAGGGGGCGTGGCTTAGCCATAGGTCAATTCTATTTTTTCTTTTAAAAAATCCTGTCGTCACTTGCATGTTATGAATTTTGGGATAGGCTGGGCTGTGAAAGATCCACTCGTTCTATCCTACGTGGCTTGGGAAAACTAAGAAAGCATTTGTATGCCGCATTCGAAAGACAATTTTAATTGGGACAGCCTTTGTCGCACCATTGACACACATTTGGCCTTCAAAGGATGCAGCCTCTGAATTCAAACACCGCTACAAATGAAGCTCTGAACTATCATTCTAACTTGTTTTTGTGTGCAGTGAAATTCCTATTGCCAGAGTACCCTACCAGCATGTTGGCATTGCCACGTTCACTTTGTACTTGCTTGATGTCACGCTGCATCATGTTATGTCAAGCTTTGTTGTACTACGTCATGCTAAGTCACGCTTTGCTATGAAACACTTCACCCTACAATGCAAAGGTTTGGCTGCCAGTGGCATCAATACATCAAACTCGAGGTATGGTGAACTCTGATGACGTCTCAAAATCTTGCTTCCTCGACGTGACCACAACTGTGTGTGGTGATGAATCACATATAGCTTTGATCATAACCCAGCAAATCAGACAGTTATAGACCACTGTTATACGAATTAAGTTCTTCACACAACTTTTTCCAGCACTTAAAGCTCAAAAGTCTGAATATTATCCAATTTAAATGTTATTTTTAATGTGATGGCCAATTTTTTTTTTTTGTTCATCCTTCAAAGATTGTCTGAATTTTTAAAACTAAAAGTTTCACGATGTAGGAAAACGTCCGGATTACGTATGTAACCCTAGTTCCCCGAAGGGACGGACGCTGCGTGTAATCGCAGTGGGAACGCCCTCAGCGTGACTCGTCTGAAGCATAAATGAAATCAGTCAATGGAGAGAATGAGCGTACGGCGAGTGACGTCATCGACCAGGAAGCTATAAATATCCCCTGAGCACACAAGCCGCCAGCTTAAAGTTACTGAAGCAAGCGACCCAAGGGGATGCCGGGAGTATGGCAGGACACGCAGCGTCCGTCCCTTCGGGGAACTAGGGTTACATACGTAACCCGGACGTTCCCCTTCAGGGACTACCGCTGCGTGTAATCGCAGTGGGAACGCAATACCCACATCCCCATCCGACCAAATCCCTGTCGTGTGTCAATAGGAGACACAAACCGACGAGAGAAACTGAGCCCCGGGAGTGGAGCTAAGGTAAGGGAAATAAAAAACCTGACGAAAGTGTGTGGTGAGGACCAGCCTGCCGCATCACCAACGTCCTGAAGAGAAGCTCCTGAAAGAAGAGCTGTAGAGGCAGCCATACTCCTGGTGGAATGAGCCCTTACAGCCAAAGGTGAAGGCTGATGGGCCGAACCGTAAGCAAGCGAGATGGCCTTGACCACCAACTTGCTCATCCTTTGCTTAGATGCAGAACACCCTTGCTTAGGTGACCCAAGAACAGACAAACAGTTGTTCCGATCTTCTCCACAGGGCAGCTTTGTGGACATAAGCATCTAAAGCCCTAACGGGGCACAGCAAAATAAGTTTCTCCTGGTCTGACGCCAGAAAAGGTGGAGGACGGAAAACCTGCAGAACTATAGGTCTGACAGAAATAGTTAGTACCTAGGAACATAACCTGGTCTCGGACAGAGAGAGGCCTTAACCGAACCAGGAACAAGTTCCAGGCACGAGGGAGCCACCGAAAGTGCTTGAATATCTCCTATTCTTTTTAGAGATGAGATAGAAGAAGGATAGTCTTTAGAGTAAGAAACTTTTACGAAACTTCCTCGAAGGGCTCGAAAGGAGCTAGGGAGAGACCTTCTAAGACGATGGCCAGATCCCAAACTGGTACCCTCGTGCGAACTGCAGGCCTCAGCCTCAAAGTGCCACGAAGGAAGCGAGATATCAGTGGGTGTCTCCCTAGGGAACCTCCACTTGAAGGGGCGTGGTAAGCAGCTAAGGCCGCCACGTACACCTTCAGTGTGGAGTGGGATAACCCAGTGGAGAGACGGTCCTGCAGGAAATCCAGCACTGTACCAACTGGGCAGTTAACTGGGTCCTGCTGGTGCTCTCCACACTAAGAGGTGAAAGTTTCCACCTCGCGGCATATAACTTCCTCGTGGAGGGAGCTCTGGATTGAAGGATGGTCTTCAACAACCTCAGTCGAGAGACCAGAAGCTATGAGCTGGGCCCCCTCAGAGGCCAAGCCCACAGTCTCCATAGTTCTGGGCGGGGGTGAAGGGTCAACCCACTCGTCTGAGAGAGTAGGTCTCTCCTAAACGGTATCTCCAGGGGAGAGCCATCGAGGATAGACATTAGGTCCGCAAACCACACTCGAGCCGGCCAGAACGGGGCAATTAGCAGGAGACTGAGCCCGTCCCGGCGAACCCTCTCCAGAACTCCTGGGAGCAGAGCGATCGGGGAAAATGCGTACAGACGTGACCTCGGCCACGAATGTACCATCGCATCCAACCCCATCGGGGCTGGATGGCTAAGAGAGAACCACAGCGCAGTGTGATGCATCTCGAGAAGCAAATAGGTCTACCTCGGCACGACCCAAATGTTTCCAAAGGAGTTCCACCACCTCGGGGTGAAGACTCCATTCCCCGGGCCTCGGCTCCTGTCTTGACAGGATGTCTGCACCCCTGACTTAAATACCCCGGGAGATAAAAAGCTCTCAGAGAAAGAATTTTTCTCCTGGGACCATAGAAGGATCTGACGTGTCAGTTTGTAAACGAGAACGCAGACCACCCTGATGGTTGATAAGAGACCACCGATGTGTTGTCTGTCCGGACAAGAACATGGTGGCCCCTTAGGTCTGGGAGGAAGTGTTTCAGAGCCTGAAACACCGCCAACATCTCTAGGCAATTTATGTGCCACAGACGATGTTGGTCCTCCCACAGACCCTGAGCTGGGCGACCATCAATGATCGCCCCCCAACCCAAGAGAGAGGCATCTGTCGTTAGCATAACGTGACGACAAGGAGCTCCTAACACAGGACCTTGGGACAGAAACCAAGGATCTTTCCTCATGATCAGGGCGCGATAACACCGTCGCGAACTCACGATCATGCGAAGCGGATTTCCCCTCGGGGAGAATCCCTTGGTTCTGAGCCACCACTGTAACGGTCTCATGTGCAAGAGGCCAAAAGGTATACGTTGGACGCAGCTGCCATGAGACCAAACAGTCCCTGGAACTGTTTTACAGTGGATGCCTGGCCTAGCTTGACCTGATCTACTGTGGCAAGAATCGAAGCAATACGAGCAGGTGACAATCGTGCCTGCATCGTTGTCGAATCCCACACTACACCTAGAAAAGTGGATCTCTGTAAAGGAGAAAGAACACTCTTCTTGGCGTTAAGCCTCATGAATGTCCTTTAGATCTACCGAGACAAACCAGTCCTCGGATCTGATTTGTGACACGATCTGCTTGAGAGTGAGCATCTTGAATTTAAGCTCCCCTACAGCGCGATT